TCAACAAATGCTTTAAATTTTCCACAATATCATGCATCTACAACTGTTCTTGTTGTTGAGTATTTTTGATAAACTCCTCGACAGTCTTTGTGGATGTTCATGTTTTACAAACTGTCTGTGAGAAGCTGGAGACATTTCTGCTCCACATCCACTGAGCAGCTGCTCACTTTTGTTTTAGCCCAGGAGCCCACATACAGAGGTCCTAAGGACACCAACACAGACATTTAAATTTAAAAAAAAGAAAAAGACGTGTGTTACAAAATAAACCTTTAGTGGACCAAAATGAACTTTTAAAAGATGTTACTCCGACGTGACTTTGCGCAGTGCGAGTGACATGTAAACATAATGATGTATCAATTGCAGAACACTCATATGAGGTCCGATGTTATATACACACACACTCCTAAGTAAAAAAGCTCTATGAGACTGTTTTAAGGCTTGTTATTACTGGGCGTCAGCACGTCAAAATTTTCCAAACTACTGATGTTTTTTGCCTTTTTGGTGGCTCCATAATGTGCCTCCAATGGCCATGCACGCTTGTGAAGTTCCCAAAATCACCTCCGATCTAGATCTGAGTCTTTTCAACAGCTCAAATCACATAATGAGGCAGTGACATCATTTCAAAGAAACAATTTGTCTTTGGTCTATGGGTCTCTTTGGGCCTCAACACAGGCTTCATTTGGACACGCACCCTGTGCTCAACACAGAAGATACATTTCATCATTACATTAATGCCACATGGAAAGCATTAGCTGCAGTTAATATAATATACTATGATGTATGTAGTGTGTACCTGTGAATCCAGGTAGTTGTGGTATTGCATTTGCTGGCTTGAAACCAGCTGTAAAAATGCATCATGTTGACTTTGCTGTTAACTGGTCTTATCATTAAGATGTGCTGTTTGTATTAGCTCTTGTGAAAGCTGTAACAGTGACAGACTTGGTTAAATTAAGCTGTATAAGTCATTTAGATTCTTGCAATTACACAGTGGTTTATTTGGCTTCATGAACAAAGATGATCAGATTATAGAGCTCATATGAAATCATGACACAAACATGGTTTTACCTGCTTTTAGTGACAGGCATTGTAATTCAAGCTGAGGATACAATGGTGTGATACAAAGATTTACAGCACATGAAGCAGAAACATGCAAACCTTCACCATATCTGAACTAAATCAAAACAAATATCCTGCTACAGTTTAATAATGAACCAATCCAGCAACAATGAAGGAAGAAACCAAGATGTACCTGACTCTGGTAAAGGAGAGGAAATGAAACACAGACTGCTCTCTGCAAATATCTAACCTGCAGATAATAATCTGTTGGTTATTTTTCTCCCATTTCAAACCCAGAGACTGCAAACACTGAGCAGAAACACAGAGTTCACCCCAGAAAATCTACATGTCCAGCTAAGAAGTGACTTTAGTTTTAAACTTTAGTGTTTTAAACAAATAAAATTAAATGTCTCATGCACTCGTGCTGCCCTCCTGTGGTCATGGCTGCAGACATGTCACAGTCTTCAGTCCTTCCCCCTGAAGCCCACCTCTCATAGCACACTACATAATCAGTGACCCAAAGCCACAAACGTGCAGCACAGCCGTACTGCAGTCCCAGCCACACGAAAGGAGTCGAGGCGGTTTTGGCTCTTTCCTGGACCCATCGCTGCTCCTCAGGGTTGCTGATTGAAACCAGGTCATGGTGTTTCTGTCTGCAGTAATTCAAGGCTTCCTCCCAGGTTTTGTTTTTCTTGATCAGAATCAGTTTATCTGCCGTAAAATCACAGAAAACATGAAAGGGACTTAAAGCTGAATGCCATTGTGCACTCTGTGGCAGCTTCGAAAGAAACAGCTTTATTTGTTGGAACAAAATATGTCAAACAAAATACTAAACAAACAAAGGAAAAACTAGGAAACTTGAAAGATCTGAGGTAAAACAGATATACAAAGCAAGATGGCAGGACACTGGGATAAAGGAAGCAAAACTGAAGTCAGCACAGGCAGAAAACACAGGGATGGGACTAAAAGCGTAAACAGCCACAGAGACAGAACAGAAAGAGGAAAGAAAGGAACTGAAAGAATAACAACACTGAGTAGAAACCTGGACCGACTGGAAATGGTGGGAACAAATATGAAAAACAAGAAATATAGAAATAAAAATGTAAATACTGAAATCTCAAAAGCACAAGGAAATATACAATTAAAGAACTCATACAAAGCTAGAAAATGCAAATCCCTGAAATCCAAAAGAACAAGTCATAAAACCATAATAAACACAAAACCCGGACAAAGACCCAGGACTATGATACGGCATGGTAGGTCCAGTTTTAGACAAAGAACAAAGAAAAAACATTTTAGTAATTTTTCAGACGAATCAGTCGCTCTACAGAGAAATCTCTGTTCCAACCATCAGCTAAACATCTTCACCTTTGACAGAAGTTCAACATACATGCAGACATAAGTGGCTGAAGAAACATACTGACCTAAATCCTCTCAGTGACTCCAGCTGTTCATCTATTGGACAAACAGCTGAGATAAATCTGTGTAAACTCACCATCATAGCAGAAGAAAGGCTTTCTTTGGTCACATCCAGCTGAGCGCCATCTTCCTGATCTCTCTAACAGAGTCGTAGCACATGTCCTGTTGTTTAGTCCATCATTGAATGAGTCCATGTCCCAGTATCTGAAAGAGAAGTTACTCCCATCTGACCACCTCCAGCTGTCTCTGAACAGGCCGATCCACAATTTCACCTTAGAGCCTGTAGAGTTCTGCAGCGTCTTAAACTCTTCACTGTATATCTGATCGAGTCCACTGGCCAGGTCAGTGTGATGCTGTCTGCAGTAGCTCTGAGCCTGAGTCCAGGTCACAG